AAAAATTCTTTCAAGAAATGATGATGGGATAACTGACTATCCATATGCAAAAGTATAAAATTGTATCCTTACACCTTATGCAAAAATTAACTCAATGGATCAAAGATCTAAATGTAAGAGCTAAAACAAGCTAGAGTAAAACATAGGGGTAAATTTCCATGATCTCAGGTTTGGCAATGGAGTCTTACATATAATACCCAAAGCATGAGCAATGAAAGAAAAAAATAAATTGGACTTCATCAAAATTAACATTTTTGTTTCAAAGAATACTATCAAGAAAGTGAAAGACAACCCACAGCATGAGGGAAAATATTTGCAAATCATATATCTGATAAGGTAACTATAAATAGACTTATATAAGAAATTCTTACAACTCTATACCAAAAATACAAATGACTCAATTAAAAAAAACGGGTAAAAAGCTTAGTGCCCATAACTCAGTGGTTAGGGAGTGAGTGGTTAGGCAAGAAAAATAAGAGGCATCCAGAGTTAGGCTTGGCAACTTAAAAACCTATGCACCTTATGCACCATATGCACCGGGGCTGACGGGTTCGAACCCCGCCAGGGCCTGCTAAATAACAATGACAACAATAACAAAAAAACAAATAGCTGGGTGTTGTGGCAGGTGCCTGTAGTCCCAGCTACTTGGAAGACTGAGGCAAGAAAATTGCTTGAGCCTGAGCGTTTGGAGTTTCTGTGAGCTGTGATGCCACAGCACTCTACCGAGGGCAACATAGTGAGACTGTCTCAAAAAAAAAAAGAAGATGTACAAGGTACAAATGACCAATGAGCACATGAAAAGAAGCTCAACATCATCAGTCATCAGGGAAATGGAAATCAAAACTCATACTAAGATAGCATTTCACACCCACTAGCATTGCTAGAATAAAAAAAAAATCATTTAATACTTGTTAGTGTTGCTGAGCATGTGGAGAAAATGGAATGCTCACACACTGCTGGTGGGAATGTAAGATGGCACAGCAACTTTTCTTGCCGTTCCTTTCTTAATTAAACATACAATTAACCCAAAGCAATATACAATTTTAATGCAATCCCTATTAAAGCTCCGTTGTCATACTTTAAAGATCTTGAAAAAATAATATTTAGTTTTATATGGAATCAGAAAAAACCTCGAACAGCCAAGACATTACTCAGAAATAAAAACAAAGCAGGAGGAATCATGCTACCAGACCTCAGATTATACTGTAAATCAATAGTGATCAAAACTGCATGGTACTGGCACAGAAACAGAAAGGTAGATGTATGGAAGAGAGTAGAGAACCAAGAGATGAACCCAGCCACTTATGGTGATTTGATCTTCAACAAGCCTATCAAAAACATTCACTGGGGGAAAGACTTCCTATTTAATGAATGGTGCTGGGTGAACTGGCTGGCGAACTATAGAAGACTGAAAGTGGACCCTCACCTTTCACCATTAACAAAAATTGATTCTCACTGGATAAAAGATTTTAACTTAAGACATGAAACTATAAAAATACTAGAAGAAAGTGCAGGGAAAACACTTGAAAAGGGGAAATTTGTGCAGGAAAATTGGCCTGGGTAAATATTTTATGAGAAAGACCCCCTGGGCAATTGAAGCAACACCAAAAATACATTACTGGGATCTGATCAAACTAAAAAGTTTCTGCACAGCCAAAAACACAGCAAGTAAAGCAAGCAGCCCTTAGAATGGGAGAAGATATTTGCAGGTTATGTCTCTGACAAAGGTTTAATAACAGAATCCACAGAGAACTCAAACATATTAGCAAGAAGAGAACAAGTGATCTCATCTCAGGGTGGGCAAGGGACTTGAAGAGAAACTTCTCTGAAGAAGACAGACACATGAAAAAATGCTCATCATCCTTAATCATCAGAGAAATGCAAATCAAAACCACTTTGAGATATCATCTAACCCTAGTAACATTAGCCCACATCACAAAATCCCCAAACCAGAGATGTTGGCATGGATGTGGAGAAAAGGAACACTTCTGCACTGTTGGTGGGAATCCAAACTAATATGTTCCTTTTGGAAAGATGTTTGGAGAACACTTAGAGATCTAAAAATAGACTTGCCATTCGATCCTTTACTTCCTCTACTAGGTATATATCCAGAAGACCAAAAATCACTTTATAACAAAATTATTTGCACCAGAATTTTTTTTTTTTTTTTT